AAGTGCATCAGTTATTCTGTTCTGAGTCAACTGTACTTGGTCATTATTCTTTTTTTAAAAAATATTTTTTAGTTGTAGATGGATACAATACCTTTATTGAACCCAGTGCCTCACACATGCTAGACGAGCACTCTACCGCTGAGCCACAACCCCAATCCCTGGTCCATTATTTTTGATATAATATGCACTTTAAATCTTACAACCCTGATTCATAGACATTATCATATTCATTTTATAGCTGAGAAAACAAAACAAAGAATTTTGTTAATTGTTTTAGGAAAAAATTATAAGCTTGAATATTATTCACAAAAGAAACCAACATTTGCATAGCAGAAACTGTTGGTTTTCTACCAAAATGAACTACTGTCTCCTTCCTGTATAATAATAGGGTTTAAGCTTGTGTGCTATGTCTTATTAGAAACTATACTTCCCAGGCTTCCATGTAGCTAAGCATGGCCATATAACCGTTTTCACCAATGAAATGTGAATGGAAATAACTTGTAAACATTGCTGTAGTTCTTCTTGCTTAAAAGGAAATTGCTCTCTTGTATTTTCCCCCCTTTTATTTCTTCTTTCTGTGAGCTGAAACTCGGATGTGCCTGCAACCATCTTCCACCAAGAAGGAAAAGACAAGACCCTTAACACATTGCTATTCAAAAGGGTCATTTTTGGACTATGAATATTAGTGTCTCTTGAGAGCTCATTAGTATTTTAAACTACCCAACACCCGTGGAAAGAGAATCTGCATTTTAACAAGATCCCAGGTGATTTGAGTTTATATTCAACTTGGAGACACCCTTCTGCAGCAGGTAGTGGAGCCGCTTTATGGGTAGAAAGTATGATGGTCTGTAAACAACCTTGCCTTTGCTCTCCCCTGACTCCTCCATAACCTTCTAGCTTCTTTAAGTAATTAAATCTTGAGGCCTCTTTATCATACCAGCATACATTCACTTTATATAATCTGCATCATCTGTTGACCCCAAAATAGGTTTTGCATCAATTTTATGAAATACTTATGAACGTATTTTTTTAAAGAAAGTATTGTTCTAAGCCATCTCCCTCTCCCCCCTTCACGTATATACGTGTGTATACATGTATACACACAAATATTGAGGATCCTAAATTATTTAAGGCTGGGCTTTTTTTCCCTAGAAAGACATAACTTAATAGACAGCAACGTCAGAACATTAGAATGATACATGATAAAAAAAAGTATAGTGGATGTTTACTATTTTTATTTATGATCGTCTCTAGTAGACAGAATAATACTTCTGAAAATACACCCATGTCCTAATCTCTTGAACCTGTGAATGTTACCTTCCAAAAGAGACTTGGTGATGTGGTTAAGATGAGAAGATTATCTTGGATTATCCAGGTGGGACCGATGTAATTACAAGGGACCTTATAAAGAGAGAGGCAGTGGTCAGAGAAGTAACTGCTGAAGTTGGAGAGATGCCATTGCAGGGACAGAGACAGGAGTTGAAGATATAGACAGCTTCTGGAGTCTGGAGAAGGTAAGGGACAGATTCTCTAGAGCCTCCAGAAAGGCTATAGACTCAACCCATTAAGGTTAAAACCATTCTTGGATGTCTCTTCACCAAAGCTGTAGGATGATAAATTTGTACTGTTTTAAGCCACTAAGTTTATGGTAGCTGGTTATAGTAGCCAGGGAAAATTAATACATGGCCTTTTTTTTCTTCTCCATTTGAATAGTCCATGCCCCATCCCTCAATGTGTCTGGATGGGAGGCTGAGCCTGAAATTCCTTTCATTATAGGCTTAGAGGGTAAGGGAACATTGGCCAATTACATATTCTTTCTCAGGGCACAATGTTGAGGGAGTGATATAAACACAAGATTAGAAATGTTCCAGGGTGACTGGAGTGGGCAGGCTATTTGTATGACATGATCTTGCCTTTGCTCCCTGCTGTCCAACTCTCTTGATTCCTAATCCATTTTTCTGTGCTACTTCCCTGGTTTTCTTGTTGATGATGTTATCTACCCTATATTATTTTCGTGTGTGTGTGTGTGTGTGTGTGTGTGTGTGTGTGTGTGAATATGTGTATGTTGCTGGGATTGAATGTACAGTGCTGTACCACCAAGTACATTCCCAACCCTTTAAAAAATTTTTTTAAGTTGTGGATGGACACAATACTTGTATTTTTATGTGGTGTTGAAGATCAAATCCTGGGCCTCACAAGTGCCAGGCAAGTGCTCTACCACCGAGCTATAACCCCAGCCCTCTTTTAAAAAATTTGAGACAGGGTCTTGCTAAAATAACCCAGGCTGGCCTTGAACTTGTGATTCTTCTGCCTCAGCCTCTTGAGTGGCTGAGATCACAGGTGTATGCTATCATGCTGGGCTGCTACACTATATTATACCAACCAATTATCTAGATTCTCCTGTTTCCAGTCAGGTGCTCCAATTAAGGAAAAAAGTTATGGAGCTAATATGTGCATGTTTTAACATTCCTATACATACTTTGTTCTGTTAGGACAAGACCTTTGTTTAATTCCTTTTGCACCCATAACTTCTATTTTACATGTCCAGGTCACTACATGCTAGTTGAATAAAAGAAGAAAATAGCTAATAATGTAAGACTATTTCATAGGCAGGTAGAGGCAATCATGGGAGTAGGCTTCAAGTTTTATCTGAAAGATTTAGCAATAAACAGAGACTTTAAAGTTGGACAGAATTTCTTTTAGCAAGATGAGCACAGGGTATTCTAATCAATAAACCACAGGTAGTTAGTTCACTATACATTTTAATAGCCTTGTTTATTTATTCATAAACATGCTTGTTGAGATCTTACCAATATATTCATTATTTAAAGAAGTCCACCTTACAAAGAGGAGTCTATGCATTAAATATAGGTAGAAGAGGGCTTATTGCTGTCATCTACAACCCTCTATGACACAGTGGAAGGCTAATTCTGCAAATTTCCTTTTTTTTTTTTTTTTTTGGTACCAGGGATTGAACTGAGAGGGGCTTAACCACTGAGCCACATCCCCAGCCTTTATTAAATTTTTTATTTTGATATAGTGTCTTGCTAAGTTCCTTAGGGCCTTACTAAATTGCTGAGGCTGGCCTGGAACTAGCTATCCTCCTGCCTTAGCCTCTTAACCCCCTGGGATTACAGGCATACATCAAGGCACTTAGCTCTGCAAATTTCCTTTTATGCTCCCTTTCAGTTGCTAGAATGGTTTCACAGCGCCTATCTATTTTAAATTTAGCTCAACAGATCACCAGAGAGGCTGGAAGAAGTTAGCTATACCAAAGAAGACATTGTGGTGCTGAAAACAAACTTGATCTAGAAGGTCATGTATAGAAAAACTAAGCTTAAAGTGAAGCCAGAATTAGACAAGTGGTCTGTATAGATAGGTAAATCAAGTTAGGTTGGATCAAGGAGGCCAATTTGAGTGAGTTCAGAAAATTGGAGAGGGATTGAAATGCTAATGCCTTCAGCACCCTTCCTCCACCCTTATCCAGATAACCTGCCCCTGCTCCAACCAGTTGCTATGATAACCTGTCCAAGGGATTGTCCCTCCTCACCTGCCAAGATCATGCCACCTTGGCCCCTCTGGCCCATTTGCTTCTCACCTTTTAGTGATCTCACTGAGCATCTCCTGGGCAGGAAAGAGACAGATAAGGGAAGAGAGCAGGAGAACAAAGGAAGTCTAAGACATATAAAAATGCAGGTCACCCTCACTTCTTGAGATACCAGGATACCAGCCATGGCCCTCTACTCTCTCCCAGGAGAAGTCTATGTTACCCCTTTTAAATAAACCCTGCTTTATATGTTTGCCTCAGTGTGCTTCTCTAATGTTATAATTCAACATGTGAGGAAGCAGGACTTGTCACCGGTAATGGGTGGTATCAAAAGTATGTTGCTTTCATATTCAATTCTCATAGCATCAAATAATGCCCAAGTACCTACCAGCCAAGATTCATGTTTATAATGATGAGGAAAACCACATTGAGAAGTGTGATCAGAGTTACTAAGGGAACATTTGGGTGCAATAGGAGTGCAGTTTAGAGAATGATTTGCACTTGCACCCTTACATCGTTAGGTCTCCCTATCAACTTCAACAAGAGGCAGCAAAGACTTTTCCATAAATGACCTATGCATTATATATTCCACGTCATTCCCCACAACCTTAGGGGCTAAATCCTGGGACCCCTACTGCTGAGCTCCATCCCTAGCCCTTTTCATTTTTATTTTGAGACAGTCACTCCCTAAGTTGCCCAGGCTGGCCTTGAATTTACATTCTCCTGCTTTAGCCTCCTGAGTAGCTGGGATTACAGGCGTGCACCACCACTCCAGACATATGCACTGTTTTTAAAGATCTATTTTAAAGAACTATATTACCAGACATTTTGCAAAACAGGCAATAAAGCTACCCATAGCCTGCTTCTGTAACCATGCCCTACGAAACCCCTTGCAAGTCTTTACTGTTATAATAACAACTATACATTATCTAATAAGTGATATAATAGTTATCATTTATTTCATGCTGTGCTAAGTACCTTCTTTACATAATCTAATTTAATCTCCAAAACAATCAGAATGTAGACACTATCATTTCCATTATATAGATAAACTAAGGCTCAGAGTCCTACAGTTAGTAAGAGCTGGGATTTAGAATAAGTCCTTGTATGATCACTAATTTTATGTAGGTACAATCATGATGCTCAATACATTTTAATCCCCTTAATAAATGTGACAAAGAGCAAGGCCCCTCAACACCCAGCTCCCTAGCTGGGTACGTGAAAAACAAAAAAATCTCTGGTTGCAATGACCCACCATTTTTGAAAACAGGGAAAAGTCACTTTTTAAAATCAGACAGCCAGGGGTAAAGCAGGTTCCCATTCAACCCGCAGGGCGGGCGGGGCCTCGTGGACCACGCGGTCAGTCAGCCCGAGCTGGCGTCCAGTGCGCAGGCGCGCACCTGTTCCGGTGGCTGGGGCCGCGTGCCCACGGCCCGCCCCTGCCTCGCTCTGCCTGTCCGTCTCCCGCCTCCGCCCGGCTCCAGCCACCCTGCAGGCTCCGCCCCTGCCCTCTCCGCCGCGTCTCCTCCCTGCAGTCTCTCTCTGTGGGCGAACTGCGTGCTGCTGCGTCATCGCCAGTGGCCGGTTTGAATGAGACTCGTCGCACCCGAGCCGCCACCACCGTGCTTCCACCTCGGCCGCCTCCACAAGCTTTTTCTGGTCCCTTTCCCTGCGCGGTCTTTGCCAGGACCAGCCTTCCTACGCCACCACCTCCCTGCGTACCCCCGCCATGCCACTGTACTCCGGTGAGCTCCCTCCTCGCCTCTTATCTCACTCTCGGGGCCGACGCTTAGGCCTCCACATAGGCCTAGCCTGCAGAGGCGGGCGCGGGGCATGGACTGGGGGAGCGCCAGGGTGCGGTGCGCTGGGTGGCTGCAGAGCGGGGACGACCCTGGCACCTTCCCCTCCCTGTTGCGACGGAGACTTGCCACGCGTGGGAGCCGCCTGCTGGGTGGGATGGGAGCCGGAGTAGAGATGGGGAAGCTGCTCCGAGTCATGACTCTGCAGAATAGTTTGTCCCTGTCCTAGTGTGCTGTGGAAGGTGAGGGTGTGTCCTGGGGTGCCAGGGACCAGGCTGCAGGTGCAGTGCTAGTCCTTTGGGCTTCTTGGTGGCAGCTGCGGAAGGAAGTGGGGAAAGAGGGTAGGAATGGAGGGACTCAGGGGTGTTAAGAGTGGCCTTCATCCTCCTTGGGGTTGATAGCTGCCCTTTGCTGCCTTTTGGCTCAGCTGCCCCCTTTATGCCCATTTCAGTTCTATTCCGAGGCAGATTGAAAAACCTGTGTATTTACTTATTCGTTTTCATTTCATCATATATTGTATTGGACTTCTGTAACCAAAGTGTCGTTAGCTTTGAGAGGTAGACGAATGTAAATATCCGCCAGCGTTTTTTTTTTATATATATTTATTTTCTAGCTTTAGGTGGACACATCATCTTTATTTTATTTTTATGTGGTGCTGAGGATCGAACCCAGCGCCCCACGCATGCCAGAGGAGCGCTACTACTTGAGCCATATTCCTAGCCCTCCGCCCTGGTTTTTGTTTGGCATTTGACAGGACTGGTTTGCTCTATGGCTGCCTAACATGTTGACCAGGAATCACATTTTTACTTACTTTAATGGACCTACTGTTTTCCAGTCTTATTCAAAATGGCACCTAACATGTGTATAATGGCCCTAATTAGGTATGGATATGTGATTTATTGACTGTCCCTTACCCGACTGTGTCATATTTCCTTTAAGGTTCAGGATTTTCAATGAATCAAGAGTACCGTTTAATCTCTAGCTGGATTCTTGATGGTCTAGAATTTTGAATCCAAGCTTTAATAATAATTACCCAACCCTTTTCTAAAGCCAAAGCTTGAAATATCCTATCTTGAAATGGGATATGCAGTATTTAATTAATTTATTAAATTAAGGGGGCATTAATTAAATAATGGTTGATAAAGAAGGCTACCTACTAACACATTGGTAGGTTTTTAAAATACAACAAAACCAATCTTTCTCTTTATTCCTGCAAAAAATGCCACAATAGATTCTAACTTAAAAATTTAGTTCTGTGTTAAATATTTAATCAGATCTTTTTCTCATTCCCAACATGTAGGTATTGAAGTAAATTTCAAAGGTCCCTTCCATTCACATCTCCATGTTGAGAGTCTGTATTTTCAAGATCAGCAAAAAGCCTTATATTAAAATGAAGAGAACATTTTAAGTACCATTCCTTAAGTTTTACTATCTAGATTCTTAAATGATTAAAGATAAGTACGATAAAGATTATTGAACACCCAATGTAAGCTGGATTTTTTTTTTTTGTACCCAGGGATTGAACCCAGGGGCACTCAAACACTGAGCCACATCCCCAGACCTTTTAAAAAAAAATTTGTTTAGAGACAGGATTTCATTAAGTTGGTTAGGACCTTTCTAAGTTAAAAAAAAAAAAAATATATATATATATGTAAATAAAATTTAGTTTTAGGTGGACACAATATCTTTATTTTCTTTTATGTGGTGCTGAGGATTGAACCCAGTGCCTCACACATGCCAGGTGAGCGCGCTACCACTTGAGACACATCCCGAGCCCCCTTTCTAAGTTTTTGAGGTTGGCTTCTGAGCTGCTGGGATTACAGGCATGGGCCACAGTGTCATGCCATGTGAGCTGGGGTTTTATATGCTTTGCCTTGTTTTAATCTTTAACATAATCCTGTGTTACTGGTATGATTTCCCTTTTTTGGATAAGCAAAAAGTTTAAGAAGGCCATCCATGGCTGGTGACACAGCTAAATAAATTTTAAATAGGTTTCTCTGTTTGGTCCCTCTCTATCTCAACTGTCTCTCAACTAGGCAAGCACTCTACCATTGAGCTAAATCTTCAGCTTTTTTTTTTTTTTCCTGGCCTGGCCTGGAGCTTGAGAGCCTCTTGCCTCAGCTGATACAGGCATGTACTGTAGGACTGGCAATTTCTAATATTATTTTGATTTAATCTTGATTTAATCATCTTTGGCTTGGCTTATTTTTATACCCTCCCTCCTCGCTAACTGAACCCTGGGCTAGGGAAGTGTTCTACTACTAAACTACGTCCCCAGCCCTTTCTTTTGAGACAGAGTCTTGCTAAATTACCTAGTCTGGCCTCAAACTTGAATCCTTCTGCCTCAGCTTCCCAAGTATCTTGGGATTATAGGCATGTACCACTGCATCTGACTGTGGGTTTCTTTTTTTTTTTTTTTTTTTTTTCTGTTAGGGAACAAACCCAGGGCCCAGAACATCCTAAGCAGGCTCTCCAATTCTGAGCTACATCTCTAGCCCCCTATTATTGTATTTCTATTTTCTTAGTGATTAGAGTTATACCACCTGCAAATTGATTTTACCTGCTACTGCTAAAGTAATCTAATACTATTCAAAACCAGACCAAGATATCCTTTATGAAAGTCTTTCAGGGATTACACATAGCCTACAACATAGAACTCACATGTGTGTTCTAGTTTGACTTACATATCTTCCTGACTTGATCCTTAGTCAGCTTTAGTTTGATTTGCTATTTTCCCTTCACTTTGGGGATTTTTTTACATTTTGGAAAGCACCATATTGTTCTAAGCTATTGAATATTTATCTCATCTTTTTTTTAATGTTTATTTTTTAGTTTTAAGTGGACACAATATATTTTTTTTATGTGGTGCTGAGAATCAAACCCAGTGCCTCACGCATGCTAGATGAGCGTGCTACCACTTGAGCCACATCCCTAGCCCCTATCTCATCTTTTAGCAAAACTTTTTTTATTCTTTGGCTAGCTCTGAATTTTTTTTCTGATGGCCAGCCAGTTATGGTGGCGTATATCTGTATCCCAGAGACTCTGGATGCTAGGCAGGAGGATCATGAGTTCAAAGTCAGCCTTAGCAACTTATCAAATCTGGGGATGTGGCTCAGTGGTTAAGTGCCCCTGGGTTCAATCCCCAGTAACAAAAACCAACAACAACAAAAACAACAACAACAACAACAAAAACAGTTGATGGTCATAATTCCAAAGTTAGCAGTTCCTATAAAAAAATCCTTTCTTGTCCATGAAGCATTTCTCTGTATTCCATACCTTTATAATATATAATAACATTATTGTGTAATTTATATAGTAAGTATATATAGGTTCTGTGCTTGTCAATTAAAGTGAGTGCTTGATATAGTCAATGAACTGATAGAACTGGAAGCAGGTTTTCAAATTCTGATTTCAGAATTTTGAAATCAGAGAGCTATTAGTTGTGAGATTCTCATTTTTAAAGATATAAAATTTTCAATGGAAACAATGTGTATCCTTCAGTTTATTATTACTTGTTTTAAAAGTTAGCTGTTTTATGAGGCTGACCAAGAGATATATGTATAGTTTAGTTATGTCTTTATTTTACTTTATGTGGTGCTGAGGATCGAACCCTGACCAAGATATTTGTATTGGAGTAAAATATATGCAACAAAATTTACCATCTTAACTGGCTGTTGCCCTTCTCTGACAGCTTCCTAAGTTGCCAAGACTACAGGCATCAGCCATAGCACCCAGAACTATCTTAACTGTTTTTTTATGAATAGTTTGATATCACTAAGTATATTCACATTTTTCCACAAACATCATTATTGTCTTTCTCTAGAAATTTTATATTCTAAAAGTGAAACTCTGTACCCATTAAATAAAACTCCCCATTTCTTCTTACCCTACTTGATGACAGGGGATATTCTCTTCTTGTCTTTATGAATTTGATTACTCAGGGTACCTCATATATGTGGAACCATATAGTATTTGTCTTTTTAAAAAAATATTTATTTTTTAGTTGTAGTTGGACACAATACCTTTATTTTATTTATTTATTTTTATGTGGTGCTGAGGATAGAACCCAGAGCCTTGCATGTGCTTAGTTAGTGCTCTACTGCTGAGCCACACCCCCAGCCCAGTTTTGTCTTTTTAGGACTAGCTTATTTCACATAACACAGTGTCTCCAAGATTAATCCATGTTGTAGTATATGTAAAAATTTCAGAAGGCTGAATACTGTTCCATTGTGGGTTGTTGTGAATAATGCTGCTATGAACATGTATACTGTTATCTCTTTGAGTACCTGCTTTCAGTACTTCTTGGTAGTTGAATATCTTAATTCTGAGTTTATTTTTTTGAAGAAATGCCAGATTGTTTCCCACAGTGGCTGCCATTTTACACTTACATTAGCAGTGTACATGGGTTCCAGTTTTTTCCATACACTCATTAGCACTTGTTCTGTTTAAAAAACAAACATTTTTTAAAAAAACCAGTAGTACTAGCCATCCTAATAAATGTGATATGGGATTTTTATATATTTTTTTAGTGATTTAGGTATATCTATAGATTCTTAATATTTGAGCATTTCTTGCTCAGGAACAACACCTATAATCCTTGGCCTATTCTCAGTATACTTTATTCCAAGATTTTCTTGTCTCCTGGTAAACTGTATAACCTTTCTCTCCTCCTTTTGTTCCAACAGTATGTATTGATTCAAATGATTCTTTGGATAAACACTTCATGAAGGCTGTGAACCTCTTTATTCTGGGAAATTGTTCAGTTTGAGTGTGATGAGAAATCCACTTCAGTCTGCAGAGATTTCTGGAGTAGGATTTAGAAGACTTGGATATTTCTTGTAGTTGTTGCTGCAGAATTGAGTATTGAACCTAAGGGTGCCCTGGCACTGAGCTACATCCCCAACCCTTATTTTTTATTTTGAGACAAGATCTCCCTAAGTCTCCCAGGCAGGCCTTGAACATGAGATCTTTCTGCTTCAGCCTGTCAAGCAGCCAAGATTACAGTCATGTGCTATTGCTATTGTGCCTGGCAAAACTTGTATATTAATTAATAATTAACTAATTTTGTGATATTAGTCAATTCAAGTCTCACATTCCAATATTTATATAATGAATGAGAAGTTAGAGTCAGTAAAATTTTATTCAGGTCACACTGCATGCATATGTTTCTTGATCAGGTAGATATTATGAGCATAAAAAGATGAAAGGGCATAGTTTGACTTTCAAGAACTAGCTCAGTGGGTGATCCCAGAGGGTTTTCTAAATCTGAAATCTTTTGTTTTTGGTACCAGGGATTGAACTCAGGGGTATGTAACCACTGAACCAAGTCCCCAGACCCCTTCCTCCCTTTAAAAATAATATTTTATTTAGAGGTGGGTTCCCCCTGAGTTGCTTAGGGTTTTGCTTAAATGCTGAGGCAGGATTTGAACTCAAGATTCTCCTTCCTCAGCCTCCTGAGCTGCTGGGATCACAGGTGTGTGCCACTGCAACTGGCTTAAATCTGAAATCTTATAAATGAAAAAGAATTTTTTTTTTTTTAAATTTACAGTTACTGTAAAATGGGGAAAGGAGAAATTTGAAGGTGTGGAATTGAATACTGATGAACCTCCAATGGTGTTCAAGGCTCAGCTTTTTGCACTGACTGGAGTCCAGCCAGCCAGACAGAAAGTTATGGTGAAAGGAGGAACCTTGAAGGTAAAATTTAGTTGAGATTTTCTTTATGTTCTATCATTATATAATTAGTGAAAATAATTAACACTGAGAAATCTGTTTAGTGTTAATATACCATTTATAGTACTTTTTTACTCACTGAAAATATATAATTTTATGGGTTTAAAGTTCTGTTCGTATTTATGTTGCGTATGGGAGGAACGTTGTGCCTATTTCAAAACATAAAAGTATCACTTTAGATTTTATTTTGCAATTAGATATCTTTGAATGTTAGGGGAGTAGGATATTTTATAATTATTGGTATTAGTATTATTCGACTTGTTTTCCTATGAATACATATTAAAAGTATTTAATTTTGTTTGACCAATATAAAATTTATTTCTGTAGTAATTTTAAGTTAATAGAGATGGAAAATTTTCTCTTAAAAACATGCAACAATATGATTAGATTTGTTTTCTTTTTAAAATAGTAAAAAATGTATTGTACATGAACTTAAATGTTAAAATTTAAAGTTCTTAAACATCTCTTCCAAAACTCTGATTCTGGAATACTAGAACCTTTTTTCTTTTTTATATCTTACACATTGAAGAAAACCTTTTGTCTCTTGAGCAGTTGCTATCACCTATCTAAGAGATGAGAGTCAAATTTTTCAAAAAGCAAGGAGACCTAAGTTTTCATTTAATTCCTTTGGCATGATCACAGTGACTCTAGCATATATCTGCTTCATTGATGAAGGGCCACAAAAAAGATGAGAAAGTATTTTTTTTTTTTTTTTAAATAAGCAATCGTGTATGGCTCAGTGGCAAAGTGCTTGCCTAGCATGCACAAGATCTTGGATTCATTCCCCAAAATGTACCATTTCTTATGATTAAAGGCAATAGTTAGTTCTTAAACTGAAAAAGACCTTTAGGAAGTTATTGTTCCATTTTTAAACAACAGTGTCCAAAGAGATGATTAGTCATACTAATGAAGGGGAGACACATATTGAATATCTGCTACCGACTGTGAAAAGAAGAGTGGGCTGTAAATATAGCTCAGTGGTAGAATCCTTGCCTGGCACATGAGGCCCTGGGTTTGATCCCCAGCACCATAAAATTTTTAAAAAACTAAAAAGGAAAAGGAGTAATGTGGGACTGACTTAATCTTATGAGGGGAAGGGCTTAGCTGTAGTAAGTTACTGCATCTGTGGGACAGGGATGGCATTAAAAAAACAAAATCTTGGTTTAACACATGAAGCAAAAGTTTTTGTAAATTGCTTCATAGATGTGAGATTTAGGACTCAAAACATTTGTGGACATGCAGATGCTGCTGAGAGTTTGTTTATCTTGATCAGTTTGGTTCACTTTCCTAGTATATTTTTAGTTGTTTTGTTTTGATGGGAATTGAATGCCAGAGCCTTGTGCATACTATGCAAGTTCTTTATCACCGAGCTACATCCCCAGCTCCCTCCTTGTATAATTTATTTTATAATTTTAAAACTTATTGTTTGTTGAGGTACTAGGGATTAAAACTAGGGCCTTACATGTGCTAGGCTAGTAATCATTGATTACCTCTTTGTCCCTTTTTATTTTTTATTTTGAGACAAGGTCTCATTACGTTGCCCAGGCTGGCTTTGAACCTGTGATTCTTATGCCTTAGCATTCTGAATAGCTGGGATTATAGGTGGGTGCCATCACTCCTGGCCTGGTATCATTTTTTTTTTTGATATTTATTTTTTAGGTGTAGATGGACACAACACAATGTCTTTTTTTTTTTTTAAGAGAGAGAATTTTTTTTAATATTTATTTTTCAGTTTTCGGTGGACATAACATTTTTATTTTATTTTTATGTGGTGCTGAGGATCGAACCCAGCAGCCTGCGCATGCCAGGCGAGCACGTTACCGCTTGGGTCACATCCCCAGCCTCAACATATAATGTCTTTATTTTCATGTGGTGCTGAGGATCGAACCTGGGTCCCACCTGTGCTAGGTGAGCTCTCTTCCACTGAGCCACAATCCCAGCCCCTGGTATAATTTTTAATAGCACTTATGTTCTCAAGAGCCTCCTGGTTTGGATGATAAATTATATAGTCACATTAGTTACCTATGCCTTATTTTATAAATTAGTCTTCATATTCTTGTCATATAACCTAGTTACTAATTCGCTCTCTTGCTTCTAAACTTGCAAAACATTAGGATCTGTCATTTGTCATCAAATATTTAGTACTTGCTAAGTATACTTAAATGTGTTTTAGTACTTGGTGCTGTCCTGTACTTAGATTGTGTCACTGTATGCAATTTAAGCAATTGTTAGACTTCCTGGCTTTTAGGTTGTATGTGTTTTGAAACCTTTTTTTTTTTTTTTTGGTTACAAGGGATCAAACCCGGGGTACTTTACCACTGAGCTATATCCCCAGCCCCTATTTATATTTTATTTAGAACAGGGTTTTGCTGAGTTGTTAAGGGCATTGCTAAGTACTAAGGCTAACTTTGAGCTTGTGATCTTCATGCCTTAACCTCTTGAGCTGCTGGGATTACAGATATGTGCCACAGTGTCCGGCTTCAAATATTTTTTTTTTTTGATTGAATTAATTTTGAATAGAATCCATAAGCAGGATAAATTTTATTTGAGGAAGCTTTTAAAACTTAGTACTTGCGCAGAGATGGTTAAATTTTCTTTTGTTTGTCTTTGAAACAGGATGATGATTGGGGAAACATCAAAATAAAAAATGTAAGTATTAAGAACACTTCCTACAATGCAGTATCATAATTATTACACCAAAAATAAATTCCAAATAACTTTTTTTTATAATGTATATCCATGTGTTCCAGTACCATTTATTGAATACTTTTCTTTTTCCATTGAATTGTGTTAGTTTTCCTTGAAAATCAATTATCGGTCTAATTTTGGATTGTTGTTTCATTGATGTAGTTGATTAAAGTTATACTACTACCACATGGTCTTGATTATTAAAGCTTTATATTAAAAGTCTTAAAAATTTCCAACTTTTTCTCCTTTTAAAAGACAACTTTAGCTCTTATGTATTTGCTTATAATTTTAGAATAAGTATATTAATTTATTTTTTTTATAATTTTTTCAAAATATTTTTCTCTTAGCTGTTGATAGATCTTTATTTTATTTATTTATACGTAGTGCTAAGACTTGAACCCAGTGCCTCACACATGCAAGGCAAGTGCACTACCACTGAGCCACAGTCCCAGCCCAAGTATGTTAATTTCTACAAATTGACTACTAGGATTTTGCTTGAAACTTCATCAAATCTAAACTCAATTTTGGGAGAATGAATGTCTTAATATGGAGTATTAAAATCCTTAAATAGTCAGATGTGGTGGCACACTCCTATAATCCCAGCAATTTGGGAGGCTGAGGTAGGAGGATTGCAAGTTCAAGGCCAACCTCAGTAATTTAGCCAGTATAAAGAATTTATAAATTCTTTATAAAGAATTTAAGATGATCTTGTCTCAAAAGAAATCAAAAGACCTGGATATGTAGCTCAGTGGTAAACCACCCTTGGGTTCAGTCTCAATCACCAAAAAATAAGTAAATGAATAAATAAATAAATTCTTAAGTTTATTTAGGTCTTTATTTTGTCTTTGGGTTGTAGGTTTTTCATTTAGAATCTTTTATGGTTTTTGTTAGATTCTTAGAACAAGGTTTCTTTGCTGTTGAATGATATTTTATAAAATGTGTTTTTCAGCATTATTGCTAGAATGTAAAAAAATATGATTGATTTTCCTAAGTTTGTTTTCATCCTGAGATCTTATAATTAATTCATTTAATAGTTCCAATAGCTTTTTGGATTTAGATTTGATATTTTCTGTGTACATAGGCATATTATCTGAAAATAATGAGTTTTACTTTTTCCTTTCTTTTTTACTTCTTTTTAAAATTATTGTTGACATAATTGATAAATAAATGACTTCTAATTTCATTTTCTTTCATAACTTCTTGCTAGGACTTCTAATACATTAATATTGAATAGAAAGTGATGAGAGTAGACATCTTTTCCTACTTCACTAAGATTTAAATTATGAATGGCTATTGAATGAAGCACTTTTTCTGCTTCTGGTTAAAATGATCATATGATTTTTCTTTTGGTAATTTGGTTATCCCCCATATACCCTTTTACATGGGGTCTTATCCCAGGGCTGGTGCCTGCTAGGCAAGCACTTCAAACTCCTGGGTTCAAATGATCCTCATGCCTCAGCCTCCTGAATAGCTGGTATTATAGGTGTGTGTCATTGGGCCCAGCAATTTTTAATTGGTAAACCTTTGCATTTCTGGAATGTGCAGTTCTCAAACCCCTTTGCATACTTTATGGATCGAAAACCCCAAAGAGTTTTGTATATATTCATTGATATTTATCATAGTAGATGTTAAAGCTGATACATTTTTAAATATTCATTCATTTAAAAAAATAATAACGGGACTGTGGATACAACTCAGTAGTAGAATGTGTGCTTAATATCTGCAAGGCCTTGGGTTCAATCTACAGCACCATAAGTAAGTACATACATATATCTAAAACTGAATTAACAAACTAAACATCTAAAACCTAATATAATCAATGGATTGTTCATTTCATATTTAAAAAATATTTTTCAACACAAAAATGTAGTAAAGGAACTGGCATTGTTATAAATATTTGCAAATCATGTGTGTGTGTGTGTGTGTGTGTGTGTGTGTGTTTGTATGTATGGGTGTGTGTGTGTGTGCGCGCGTGCGCACACTGGAGGGGCATTTTAGGAATTTAACCTGAGGCACTCTACCCCTGAGCTACACTTCCATCTCTGGATTATTTTTATTTTGAGACGGGCAGGTTGTTGAGGCTGGCCATGAACTTGTGATATTCTTGCCTCGGAGTCCTGAGTTGCTGGGATTATAGGTGTGTGCCACTGTGCCAGGCAATTTTTGACTCGTTTCATAGAAAACAGCTAAATTCTGTACTTTCTTTTATATTCAATCTGTTGTGATGTGTTGCTTTAGTTTATGCCTCACGTAGTCATACAGGTGGAAAATGAAGTGTCTTTTCAGATAAAATTATAGACATCCTTTCACAGAATACCAAAATTCAACACATAGTAGTTTATTTAAAAAATTTTTTTGAAGATGGAGTCTTGTTATGTTGCCACTGAGCTATATTCCCAGTCTTTTAGTTTTGTTTTTTGAGACAAAAAAATGCCCTGGCAGACCTCAAATTTGTGATCCTCCTGCTTAGCCTTCCAAGTAAGTGAGATTACCACCATGCCTATAAATTGGATGTTTTTGCTTGTTGTGTTTTGATCAGTGTACTAAGGATTTATCAGTAAACCTTTCCAGTTCTTGATTTTGTTGATTTATATTATTGCCCAATTGATATCTACTCTGAAAACTATTTTTTCCTAAGATTTAAATTTATTAACTTCTCTTCTAGTTGCATACATAAGTTTTTTATATATTCTATTTTTATTATCATATAGCAAAGAACATTTTCTAATTTACCTTATGATTTCCTTTTTGTCCCTTGGGTTGTTTAGAATCAGGTTAATTTCCAGTCATTTGAAGCTTTTCCTAGATATGTGCTATTGATTTCTAATTTCTTATGGTCAGATAACATGCCCAGTGTTATTATAGTCTTCTAAAGTTTATTGTTACTTGTTTATATCTAATTATTTGTATGTGTTCTCGGTTGTCAGATAAAATGTTCTATAGACTGTAAATGTCAGTTAGGTCCTGTTGGTTTATATTGTTCAAGTCCTCTATATCGTTATTGCTTTTTTTTGTTTGTTTACTTGTTTTGTCTACTTGTTTAGCAAATGCATTCAAATCTCCAGCTATAATTGTGGATTTGATTATTTCTCCTTTTAGTTCTGTCACCTTTTGCTTCATAGATTTTGATATTTTCTTATTAGATACACAACATAGGATTGTTATGTCTTCATGAACTGATCTTATTTAATTATGAAATGTTCTTTATTTCTGCTAAATTTCTTGTTCTGAGATTTACTTTGTCTTTTCTTTATATGACCACTAACTGTTTTTTAAATCATTGTTTTCATTTTCCTTTTGCTTTTAGTCTGTTTCTTTATATTTAAAGTTAATTTTTAAAAGATAGCATCTAGTTGGGTCTGGCTTTTTTATTCAATCTAGTATCTTTCCCTTTTAATTGGAGTATTAGATCATTTATGTTCAATGTAATTATTGATATGTTTGGGTTTACGATTACCATCTTGCTATTTTTTTTTTTTTTGCTGTTGTTTTTTTTTTGTTCCAGAGATTGAACCTAGGGGCACTTAACCACTGAGCCGCATCCCCAGCCCCTTTTTATATTTTATTAGAGACAGGGTCTTGCTGAGTTGCCTCACTAATTTTCTGAGGTTGGCTTAGAACTTGCGATCCTTCTGCCTTAGCCTCCTGAGCCACTGGGATTATAGGTGTGCACTACCACACCCAACTTAAATGTGTTCTTTAAGTTAACATTAAGTGGGTAGAGTATATTTAAATGAATAAATACTTATTAAAATTTTTCAGGTTTAATTTTTTAAAAAATATATTTATTTTTTATTTTTAGATGGATACAATATCTTTACATTCATGTTGTGCTGAGGATTGAACCCAGTGCCTCGTTTATGCTATGCGAGCACTCTACCACTGAGCCACATCCCCAGCCCTCAGGTTTAATTTTTTTTTTTTTTAGAGAGAGGGAGAGAGAATTTTTTAATATTTATTTTTTTAGTTTTCGGTGGACACAACATCTTTATTTTATTTTTATGTGATGCTGAGAATTGAACCCAGCGCCCCGCACATGCCAGGCAAGTGCGCTACTGCTTGAGCCACATCCCAATCCCAGGTTTAATTTTTAATGTGATAAATATTGATAGATAAAATCCACATAACTAAAGCTCTTTGAAATCTTTTTATTTCTTCACACTGAAGCAGGGATCATCGAATTTTGAATTGCAGTCTAGAAATGTCCTGTAGCCTATTTTTTTCATTCTGAAAGTTAAGAATGGGTTTTTGAATTTCAAACAATTGGGAAAAATAACAAGAATATGCAACTATGTGACTCACCAAGTCTCAAATATGTATCATATAGTCCTACTGGGGAAAGTTTGTTGATTCCTGATATTGAGCGGTCTTAAACAGTATCTTCAAATTGTTACTATAAGGGTGTGGGTGTGTTTGTGTGTGTGTGTGTCTGTGTGTGTGTGTGTGTGTGTGTGTGTGTATTTTCAAATAACAAATGACTTTGGTCTGTTATAAACTATTTTACTACATAACAGATTTTATGCTAAATTTTTTGCAAAAAAAGTGAGATGTGACCATTATGCTTGTTTTTTTGTTTTTTGTTTTTTTTTTTTAAATTGCTGGGACGCCTGTAATCAGTCAGTAGAATAATTTAATATGTGTTCTTTTGTTTCTTTTTACTGGATGTAAACATTATCAACTTTTAGGCTTTTCATGAAATTATTATTATTTTTTTTAAATAGGGAATTACTCTACTAATGATGGGGTCAGCAGATGCTCTTCCGGAGGAACCCTCATCTAAAACTGTCTTCGTAGAAGACATGACAGAAGAGCAGTTAGCATCTGCTGTAAGATATGATCACATTTTGCATTTCTTCACTACTTTTGGAAAGACAATTATTAAAATGTCTTTCAGAAAGTAGCACCTAAACATTTTAATCATTAATATCAAGATGTGTTTTTGGCAGTAAATAAGAGTTATTATATTAAAAATTTATTTTTTAGTTATAGGTAGACACAATGTCTTTTACTTTATGTTGTGCTGAGGATTGAACCCGGTGCCTCATGCATGCTAGGTGCACGCTCTACCTCTTGAGCCACAACCCCAGCCCAAGAATGTTATTTTTGAAATTAGCTTATAATAAATCATACAATTAGATTTTTTAAAAAATACTTATTTTATAGTTATAGGTGGACACAATATCTTTTAAAACAGTCATTACACCTTGATTGTTATTGCTTTCTTTTTTTAAAATTTTTTTGGTAGTTGTAGATGGACATTATGCCTTTATTTTATTTATTTTTTTATGTGGCGCTAAAGTTTGAACCCAGTATTTCACATGTGGTAGGCAAGCGCTCTGCCACTGAGCTAAAGCCCCAGCCCTGTTATTGCCTTTCTAACTTTCAAATAAATTTATTTAGGCTTTACTTCCATTTAACTTTAAAAATAAAGTTAATAAGTTAGGGCTTATGCTTATAAGCCTCAAAACTATGAGGTTTTAAGGACTGTAACTTTACAGATAAGAGTTGTAGGATGTACATAAAGTTATAAAGTAAATTAATATCTGCAATAAATATCTGGCAGATAGCACTGTTTAAATACTGTTTACTATTATCTTAATGAGAAAACAGATTCAGAGAGTACTTTAAATGCTAGGGTCTTTAAATTCTCAAGTGCTCCATGTTAAATTATCTAATTACCCTGAAGCTTCTTTTTTTTTCATTTACAGTGCTGGGAATCAAACCCAGTGCTTTCCTTGCTTTTTGTGCTCTACCAGTGAGCTATGACCTAGCCCATATCTTGAATATAAATGCAGAATCAGTGTAAAACTGGCCAATACATATGAGTCAATATTTTTTTTAACATGTAGCATTTAGTCGCATCATTCTTTATTTTTTGTTGTTGTTAGTTTTTTGGGTGTTTTTGCATTGCTTTTATGCATATTTTGCTTCCCTAGTCTGTTTATAAGCTTGCAAAGGAGGTAGGATGGATATGGTAGTTCGTATTCTCAAGAAAGGAATTAAAACAGAATTAATGCCATCATGATGCAAATAAAATTTCTTTGTTGGTTGAAGGTGCAATATAAGTTGTTAGGCACTGGTAAATGGTACTTGATTTGATGTGTGAACTTTAGTGATTTATATATGCCATGTCATTTTATAAATATGAATTAATTCTCTTTTAAAATCAGATGGAATTACCATGTGGGTTGACAAATCTTGGTAACACTTGTTACATGAATGCTACAGTTCAATGTATTCGATCTGTGCCTGAACTCAAAGATGCCCTTAAGAGGTAAGACTAAAGAGAAATGGTTTAAATTTCTGGATGAGGAAGGTTCACATTTGGGTGGATAGTAGTAATATTTTGTTTTTTTAGCATCTTTATTGAGATATTCATTTATCATACCAATTCTTTTTTCAAGTGTTCAGTGTTTTTTATTATATTTATAAGGTTGTGCAGCTCACTGCAGTCTAATTTTAGAATCCATCCCTCCAAAAGGAAACTTATTACTTGTTGCCAATTGCTTCTTAGTATTCTTCCACCCACCTCTAGTGCCAGGTGACCATTAATCCACTTTCTGTCTTATGAATTTGCCCATTCTGGGCATTTCTTTCTTTCGTTTTAGTTTTGTTTTTTAGTTGTAGGTGGACACAATACCTTTATTTTTAATTTATTCATATGTGGTGCTGAGGATTGAACTCGGCGCCTCACATGCACTAGGTAGGCACTATACCACTGAGCAACAGCCTCTGTCCTGGGCATTTCTTACATGTAAATGGAATCATATACTGTGTGGCTTTTGGAACCAGCTTCTTTTTCACTTAGCATAATAATTTCAAGATTTATTCATGTTGTAGGATATGTCAACATGTCATTCCTTTTAAAATATTTTATTGTATATGTTTATAAAATTTTGTTTACCCATTTGTTTTGTTGATGGGCATTTGGATTGTGTCTACTTCTGGGCTGTTGTGAGTAATGTTGCTATGAACAGATATTTATAAATTTTTGCGTGGACAAATTGTTTTTATTTCTCTTGGTTATATACCAGAGTGGATTGCTCAGACGTATGTTAACTCTGTTTAACATTTTGAGGAACTGTCAAACTGTTTTCTTAAGTAGCTGCACCATTGTACATTCTCACTAGAAATATAAGAATGTTATAATTTCTACACATCTATACCAATAGTTATTGTCATGATAAATAAGCAGTGGGGAAAAAAAAAACCTGACATACAAATCAGTAAAATGTTGAGGCATTCTCCAGGGCACAATATATAAATCTTTCTTGAAAACGTGGAGAAAAAATTAGACATGAAATATAGTTCTAGAGGGCTGTGACTGTGGCTCAGTGGTAGAGCACTCACCTAGCACATGCGAGGCCCTGGGTTCCATCCTCAGCACCACATAAAAATAAATAAATAAAATAAAGATATTGTGTCCAATTAAAAAATAAATATTAAAAAAATATAGTTCTAGAAATGTTAATATTTATAATATAAGAAGTAGCTAGTCTTGTGTGCATACGGCCCTGGGTTCAATCCCCAGCACACCAAAAAAAAGAAGTAGCTAGATAGAGTACAGGCAATATCTAAAAGTTTCCAATGAGTACTAGGATATGTTAAAAGAAACCCCACGCTTAGATTTTTAGAAAATTTTGAAAAACCAAAATAGCCCTAAAAACTACAAACAGGGGCTTTGGGGTTGTGGTTCAGTGATAGAGTGCTTGCCTAGCACTTGTGGAGGCACTGGGTTTGATCCCTACTACCACATTAAAACAAACAAAATAAAACAAAAAAACTAAATAAAAGTACTAACAGAAAAGAATCAGAATCAAGACTGATATAGGTCCTCATCAGTGAGCATAAACACATGAAATTAGTGGAAAAATACCTATGAACCACCAAGGAAAAATAACTGTCAATGGGTTTTGTTGTTGTTGTTGCTGATGTTCTTGTTCTTTTTCTCCCCCCTCTCCTCCTCCTCTTCCCTCTCCACTTCCCCCTCCTCCTTCCCCCCTCTATTCTCTCTTTGGTTGTAAATCCTGCTTTCATTTCTCTGAAATTTGGAAGTCTTCTTAAAGTTCTTTTTTTTTTTTTTCCTATTTTATCCTTTAAGTGCAGAATGCTTTGCTTTTTTTTAAGTCATGGCAGTTTCAAAAGGATGTAAACAAACATGAAAATAAAAAACACTTCAGTTGGATATAGTTTAACATATTTTTTTTCTGTGATTTCTTTCATTCTACTTATGTTAGCACAGAGTTTTGCTTTTTTAAAATTGAGACATAACAGATCTAAAGAAATGTATATACCTTAAGTACTCAGTATGGCCAGTTTTTTTGTTCTTTGAGTTTTACATTTGCTCTGTAATCTGTTTCCTATCAGAATATAGAACATTTCAGTCATCCTAGAAAGTTTTCTTATGCTTTTTTTCAGTGAATCCTCATCCTTTCTACTCACCTTTAGCAACTTTTGATTTCATTTTAGTCTGCACATTCTGGAAATTAAAATAAATGGAATCATACAGGTTGTACTTTTTTTTTTTTTTTAAGTCTGACTTGTTTCACTCAGCAAAAAGTTTTTGAGATTTGTTCACATCATTGATTGTATTAGTAGTTCTGTTTGTCCATTCTTGTCAGCGTTGGGTGCTATTGATCTTTTTCCTTTTAGCCTCTATAGTGGGTGTGTAGCACGTAAGCATGGTTTTCATCACCGTGAATGTATGATTGCTCTCCTTCCTCGGTATTTGTTATGAATGATAGTTTCTGATCCTTTGTTATAAGATACTATATGAATAATGATTGGTTTATTTCCTTTGGATGATTATTCTATTGTACTATTGTAAATTAACTTGGCATCATAAATCTGAAAAATGAATTTAAAATTCCTTTAATAGAAACTCTTTATTGATGAGCAAACTGACTTGAAACTTAAATGACATCTTTAATGTTATACAGGAAGTTAATGCTGAATGTAGTCATATGATTTTTTGATTTAAGCATTTTTTTAACCATATAATGCTTAAATGAGCAAGACAAGAAGAGAAAAAATACTCTGAGAATCAGTTGAAGGGTGTCATCAGTTCTTTTAATTGATTTCTTCCCATTTGAGTTTCAAGATGAGTTTAATCTTATTGTTTAATTCTGTCATAACTTTCCTAGGTATGCAGGTGCCTTGAGAGCTTCAGGGGAAATGGCTTCAGCACAGTATATTACTGCAGGTCAGTATGATAAATAGACTACTTATAATATTCAATCAATGTTACTTTTCACTTATTTTTCAGCTACCTTTTCAATTTACAAAATGTATTTTGTACATTACTTCATTAAAATTTGGAGTACTTTTATATTTCACATTAAATAACTTGAAACTTATTAAACAAATTATAAACCAGTGATTTTTTTTTTTGAAAAATAATATTTGGATTTTTCTGGATTGAATTATTATTTTGATTTCAGGTTCTATTAGATACATTTATGTTTGGGAATGACTTTGGGGATAGCCAGAAATAAGTTTTATCATGGTTGATGTGATCATTATAAAAGTCTTAGTGGTTGTTAGTATAAAGAAGTTATGTGTATGAAGAGAAATAGAAAAGAAAAAATTTTAATTTTATTTTTTTGGTCGTGCTAGGGATAGAATCAAAGGGCTTCATGTGTGTTGAGCATGAACTCTACCATTGAGCTATACAGCCCTAGAAATTCTTAAAGGGTAGAAATACCTTGTTTCTTTTTTATATGAGAATAATTTTGGATCTTTTTATATGTGAGTACTCTCTGAAATAATTGGAATAGATTGATAGGGTTTTGCAGCCATGCTTTTTTCCCCCAACACCTTTATTGCAATATAATTCACATACCATACATTCAACCATTGAAGTGTACTATTCATTATTTTCTAATATATTCACAGTATTGTCTGAATGTCACCACAGATAATTTTATAACATTTTTATTACTTCAAGATAAACAAACCCCTCTGTAATGTAATTCCATAACACTGAGCAGTCATCTTCCCCCCTCTAATCTGCTTTTAGTCTTACAGATTTGCCTATTCTGGACATTTTCTGTAAATTATATAGACTATTGCAGTGTAATCTTTTCCTTTAGTTTATGTAATGTTGTCAAAGATAATCCACATTGTAGCATTTATCAGTACTTCATTCTTTTTATTGCTAAATAAGCTTCTATTGTATGGACATGTCACATTTAATTTATTCATCATCTGTGGACATTTGGATTGTTTCTCCTTTTTGACTTATGAATATGGCTAATGTTGGTGTGTTAATATTTGTGTGAATACGTGTTTTCATTTATCCTGGGTATATAAATAGGAGTGGGATTTGTGGATCATAAGGTAACTTAATATTTAACCTTTTGAGGAAACTGCCAGACTGTTCCCCAAAGGAACTGTACCGTTTTACATGCCCTGTAGTGATATAGTAGGGTTTTGATTTTTCCACATCCTTGTGAACATTTAGTATTATGACTTTTTTACTTTAGCCATCCCAGGGGTGCAAGGTGGTGTCTCATTGTGGTCAACCATTAATTTTTATTACTATAAACAGTAGGGTTTTTTTGCATCATTTCGAGTTAAATTTTAACCTGAACTTACTTCTATATTTGTTTTATTTCTTAAGTTTTCAGTGACAAAGTTGATCATTTATATCTAGTTCATTTGATTTTTTTTGTGTGTATTTAATAAGAGTAATTCAGAATTTCAGCAACTTGTCCTGCATCTTATAGTAGGTTTATAGTATTGGTGGGTGAAAGTACTATTTTTTACATTTTTGCTTGTGTGTGTGTGTGTGTGTGTGTGTGTGTGTGTGTGTGTGTGTGAGATAGAGCATCCTGGGTTCAATCCCCACTATCACTGAGCTCCCAGACCCCCTGTCTTTTTAAAATTGGGGTCTTGCTAAGTTACCAAGGTTGGCCTTGAACTTGAAGTTTTCCTACCTTCCAAATATTTTTGCTTTTTGCCTTTAAATTTTTTATTTTGAAATTTAAATTTACAGAATTTAAGTATATATGAATTTTCCAGTTACTTTTTGTCACATCTATTTAGTTTCTCGTTTCTCTGTATTGCTTGCAGTTTTCTTCTGACTCATTTTAGAATAAGGTACCAGACATGTCTTTTATTCTTGAATATTAATTATTTCGTAAGAATAAGGATGTTATTTATAACTGTAAAATAGTGATCCATTTTCAGAATCTGGGAGTTTAACACTTTACTGTTCGATGTTTAAAAATACAGACTTCACTCATTGCCGCTGTCCCACTATTTTTCATTACAATGTTTTTATCAGCTTCAGGATCACACATTGCATTTAGTTACTGTTGTCATTTACTGCCATACACCTTGAATGTGCCAGTCTCATCTGGCCTTGGAAGTTTTGTTGTCATGTCTTATTAGTCTTTCAATCTGTATTGTGTGTGTTTTTTTTTTTTCTTTCTTTCTTTTTTTTTGGTAGTCCTGGGAATTGAACCATCCAGGGACATTTTTCCACTGAACTGTACCCTCTGCCCTTTTTATTTTGAAACAGGTTTGCTAAGTGGCTGAGGCTGGCCTTCAACTTTAGGATGCTGCCTTAGCCTCCTGAGTTGCTGGGTAATCCCAGCATGCCTATCTTCTTAATATTTTAATTTAGTATTTTTAAAACATCCAGTTTAATTTTTTTATTCAAGAACAGTTTATTGAGCCTCTGCAATTATGACAGATGAATGACATTTTACATCTTAGATGTTAATAAAACAATACAAGATAAAATTGGTCTGAGTTTTGCAATACATGAAGAAAAGGTGAGGTGTGATAGCTATGAAGTCAGCAGAGGAAAGGTATTCTGAATTAGCATAGCTAATTTCAAGACTGAGGTTTAAGGCTGGTAGGCGAGGATTAGTGGGGAAAGGTTTTGAAGAAGGCTAAGTAGTTTTGGTTCTTAGCTGTTTGATGGAGTAAAGAAATGTGTAAGGATTCATATTTCAATATTCAAGAGTTCATTAGATAGGAACCAACTGTGTGTTTAAAGGAAGGTAATTTGAAAGTGGTGATCTCATGGCCTGATAATGGCAGAATGGCAGAACAGTGATGATATGCTTGTTTGATTCTTAGACAGAGGTTATGTGTTCTCTGTATTGAGTTAATACACCCTGCTTTGTTTGGGGAAGACAAAGGCTGGCAAGGAGAAAGAGCAGCAGGGCTCAGAATTCGTTTATAGCTAGTGATTGCATTATAAAGACATCTGGTGAATTCTTCAAGATTTAAAAATGAGTATCTTAGTAGTAGTACAACAATTATGAAAGAATAGATATACTTAAATATAGTTGAGCAGGGTTTTTTAAATTTAAGAATTAAGAATTTATAGTAGCATGTATTAAATATGTTATTATACTAAGGCAATATTTGCTTTGTTTTTAAGCCCTTAGAGATTTGTTTGATTCCATGGATAAAACTTCTTCTAGTATTCCACCTATTATTCTACTGCAGTTTTTGCACATGGCTTTCCCACAGTTTGCGGAGAAGGGTGAACAAGGACAATATCTTCAACAGGTAATTAGGGCAAAATTTTTTTCATTAAATGTAAACTTAGGTTTCCTATATTTATTACTTAATATATTTGGAAATACAAATATCAGTCTGCTCTTTTTTTATAAAGGTTTTTTTTTTTAAAGATGGACACAATATCTTTATTTTATTTATTTATTTATGTATGTATGTATGTGGTGCTGCGGATCAAACCCAGTACCTCACAGGTGCGAGGCAAGTGCTCTACTGCTGAGCTATAACCCCAGCCCCTTAGTCTGCTCTTATTCATAACAAAATATTCTCTTGCCTAGAGTTGGGTGGTAGCCTGTCAGTTCTCACCTTGCTTGTGCTTTTGCTCCTGGTGGTGTTTTTCCATATAGCACCCAGTCCTTATAAAAATGTAAATAGGACTGGGGATTTGGGTCAGTGGCAGAGCACGTGCATAGCATAGGTAAGGCCCTGAGTTCTGTCCCCAGCACACACTCAAAAAGAATAGATTCCTGTTGGGTCCTTGTTTAGTACCTGGTAATGATTTTTCTACTATAGTCCTAAATCACACTAGCTTCCTGCTGCCTCTCTGAGCTTGTCAGTACTACTCCTTTCCTTGCTTAGCCTCGCTCCAGCCACATGACTTCATTGGCCTTCTTTAAACCCTTCTCTTCCAGTAGTGTCTTTTTTTTCTTGTTCCCTTTGCTGACAGATATGTGTGTGCCTGGCCCCCTCAGGTCTCACACCTGGACTGTCTTAACATTCTAACGTCCTTCCCTTCCCACAGTCACTTTCTGCTCCCATACTGCTTTTTTTTTTTTT